GATCGACTTAAGGCTCGCCTTGTTGCCAAAGGGTATACTCAGATATTTGGGCTAGATTATAGTGACACTTTCGCTCCTGTGGCTAAAATTGCATCTGTTCGTCTTTTTCTATCTATGGCTGCCGTTCGTCATTGGCCTCTTCATCAGTTGGACATTAAGAATGCTTTTCTGCATGGTGATCTTGAGGAAGAAGTCTATATGGAGCAACCACCTGGTTTTGTTGCTCAGGGGGAGTCTAGTAGCCTTGTATGTCGATTGCGCAGGTCACTCTATGGTCTAAAACAGTCTCCTCGAGCTTGGTTCGGGAAGTTCAGCACAGTAATTCAGGAGTTTGGCATGACTCGTAGTGGAGCTGATCACTCTGTGTTTTATCGGCATTCTGCACCAAGTCGATGTATCTATTTGGTTGTTTACGTTGATGATATTGTTATCACCGGTAATGATCAAGATGGTATCACCGATTTGAAGCAACATCTCTTTAAGCACTTCCAAACTAAAGACCTTGGCAGATTGAAGTATTTTCTAGGTATTGAGGTTGCTCAGTCTAGATCAGGTATTGTTATTTCTCAGCGCAAGTATGCCTTAGACATTCTTGAGGAGACAGGAATGATGGGATGTAGACCTGTTGACACTCCTATGGATCCGAATGTTAAACTTCTTCCAGGACAGGGGGAGCCACTTAGTAATCCTGAAAGGTATAGACGACTTGTTGGAAAGTTGAATTATCTCACAGTGACTAGACCTGACATCTCTTTTCCTGTGAGTGTTGTAAGTCAGTTTATGACTTCCCCTTGTGATAGTCATTGGGAAGCAGTTGTTCGTATTCTGCGATATATAAAGTCAGCTCCCGGTAAAGGACTACTCTTTGAGGATCAAGGCCATGAGCATATCATTGGATATACAGACGCTGATTGGGCAGGATCACCCTCTGACAGACATTCGACATCCGGATATTGTGTTTTAGTAGGAGGTAATTTGGTGTTGTGGAAGAGCAAGAAACAGAATGTGGTTGCTCGATCTAGTGCAGAATCAGAATATCGAGCAATGGCGACAGCAACTTGTGAGCTAGTTTGGATCAAACAGTTGCTGGGAGAACTAAAATTTGGCAAAGTTGATAAGATGGAACTTGTGTGTGATAATCAAGCGGCTCTTCATATCGCATCAAATCCAGTGTTTCATGAAAGGACTAAGCACATTGAGATTGACTGTCACTTTGTCAGAGAAAAGATACTCTCGGGAGATATTGTTACGAAATTTGTGAAGTCAAATGATCAGCTTGCAGATATCTTCACCAAGTCCCTCACATGTCCTCGTATTAATTACATCTGTAACAAGCTAGGTACATATGATTTGTATGCACCAGCTTGAGGGGGAGTGTTAGAATAGAAATAAGTATTTCCTACTTAGAATAGAAATAAGAATAGGAATAGGAATAGGAATAAGAATAGGAATCCTAGTTGGAAAAGGATTCCAATGTAGTGTCTATAAATAGGGTCTCAATGTAACTATTTAGATACACAATTCAATAATATTTTTCGTATATATTTCTCACAGGACCGTACCAGCAAAACGCCAAATCAGCTCCAGTAATGAAGAACCGGACCAGCACGGTTTGATGGCAACTTTTTTTTATAAAAAAAAATCCGTTTCAATTTGACCGTTGGGCCCCCCAAACAGCTATGTTTGCAGTTTTTGCAATTTAAGCCTATTTTTTGTTTTTTGTTTTAAAAAATAACCCCTCCCCTTAATTTGCCCTTTACAAAATCTATAAACCACCCCCACCCCATCCCTCACCCCCCTTTCATATTTTCCCACAACTCTCTCTCTCTAATCTTTCAACTTTCATCTCATTTCTCTTATATATCTCTTGAAGTGCTAGCAAGATTTAATAGTTTTCTTAATTATGAGTTTATTTTTAATTTGGTTTATTTGGTAATTCAATAGTAAAGAGCAAGTTGCACTTGTGCTACCGTCCGAGTCAAGTATTCAACTTATTGCAGCCCCTTAACACCCTTATCTAAGAGTCTCTTGACTTCCTCATGTAGTGTACCCAGTTTTCACTGTGATATACTCTACCTTTCCAGCATCCCTAACAAGATTGATTTTACTTCCCCAATCCAAGCAATGCAGTTTGAGTTTAAGGTCCCATCCTCCTTTCTTCCGACATGGTAACAATAGTGAAAACCTGAAGAAATTGTTTCCTTTAAGGGCATCTCCGACCCATAACACCAAACTTTACACCAAAACAAGATTTGGTGTAAAATTTCGTGTTGGGCTGGAGATGGACTATAAGAGTATGCCCCAGTCTAGGATTTTATCTTACCATCTCTAAATTATTAAAACAGACCTTAATTTTGAGTTCTACAGATGAAGCCTTATCTATAGGAGGAAACAACAGCCTTTGTGCACCAATGTTCATCTGCATACCATAATTTGCATTAACAACCTTCCCCACAAAGTTTCATCTTCTTGGTTCTATCTCCATAACCATTTACATAGCAAACATCTACACAGAACTCACACATTCACACACACACCCCTCTTCCTTTTTTTCAGTACTAAGACAACTTTTGTGTTGTGGTTGCCTTCCCACAAAATGTTCTTTCTTCTTTTGTCCAAATATTTCAAAAAATTATCAGGCACAAGAAACAAAGACATAAAGTAGGGAGGAATGATGTCTAATCAACTGTTTATGAATTAATCAAATGATGTCTAATCAACTGTTTATGAGTTAATCTTCCCCATATTGACAAATTATTTTTCTTTCGAGTTGCTAACCTTTTTCAAACTTTTCCTATACTTGCAAAACTTCAATAGAATTATGCTCATCTCCTAAAGGGAGCCCTGAATGCATTGAATTCTCCTGCTTTTGCACCCAGATATATTTACAAGTATTAGCTTATGGCCTTATCATCCATACATCAGACGTTGCTTAGGTTTATATTCAAACCTGAAACAACTTTAAAAGCCAGGCGGCCACCTTAAGAAACATCATATGTTTTTCCTTGTTTCACACACTAACAGTGCACCATTGGCATAGAAACTATGTGTGTTATTATGTTATTGTCTTTTTATTTTCCGAAAAGACAAATGTTAAGTTATTGTCCTCTGGACCTACCTTAAATCCACTTAAACATCATTTCTCCAATGCCTAGTCCAACATTCTATCAAGACATTTCAGTAACAGGAATAGGAAGAAGATCTGCCTGGGAGTCGAGACAAGAAAAATCAGCATAACTCCTATTTATTAATGTAGAAAACTTAACTGGGAAATGCAATAATTTACCAACTCCTCTATTTCTATCAAAATCCATCTCTTTAAAGAGAAACCGACCACTTCAAATGGTCATACGCTTTCTCTACATCTAATTTACAATGGATACCTGTTTTTCATTGTCTCCTTCTTCAGTCCAACTTCTCATTAGCAACTAAGGGTGTGTTTGGTATGAAGGAAAACATTTTCCGGAAAATGTTTTCCAATTTTCTCATGTTTGGTTGGGCTAAATGTTTTGGAAAATGTTTTCCAAATCAACTCATTTTCCTCAAATTTAAGGAAAATGACTTCCCTTCTAAACTTAAGGAAAACATTTTCCAAAACTCTCTTCCAACTTTAAATTACAATTATTTTTTATTGAAAAATCAATTTATTCCTCAAACCACCCCCCAACCAACCCCTCCCCAAAAAAATAAAAAATTTAAAATTTGTTTTTAAATTCAATTTTTTTACCCCGACCTCATCCCTACCCCCACCCCCTCCCAAAAAAATATTAAAAAATATTTTAAAAAAATATTTTCAATTTCAAAATTTCATTTTTCCACCCCTACCCTCGACTCCACCCACCCACCCACCCCCTACCAGCCGCCCCACCGCCAAAAAAAATAAAAAATTTCAAGTTTGTTTTTAAAAAATATTTTCAATTTCAAAATTTCATATTTTCACCCCTACCCTCGATCCCCACCCACCCACCCCCTACCAGCCCCCCCTCCACCCCCACCCCCCAAAAAAATAAAAAAATTCAAGTTTATTTTTAAAAAATATTTTTAATTTCAAAATTTCATTTTTTCACCCCTACCCTCGATCCCCACCCACCCACCCCCTACCAGCCCCCCACCCCCAACCCAAAAAAAAATAAAAAATTTCAAGTTTGTTTTTAAAAAATATTTTCAATTTCAAAATTTCATCTTTTCACTCCTACCCTCGACCCCCACCCACCCACCCCCTACCAGCCCCCCCCCCCACCCCCACCCCCCAAAAAATTTTAAATTTCAAGTTTGTTTTTAAAAAATATTTTCAATTTCAAAATTTCATTTTTTCACCCCTACACTCGACCCCCCCCCCCTTCACCCACCCCCTACCACCCCCCCACCCCCCAAAAAAAAATTTAAGTTTGTTTTTAAAAACTATTTTCAATTTCAAAAATTATTTTCTACTCTAATAAAAATAAAAGATATTTCTCAAAAATATTTTTCATTCATAAATCAAACACTAAATATCTTTTCCGGAAAATATTTTCTACTCACCAACCAAACATGAGAAAATAAGTCAAAAATCAACTTGTTTTCCTGGAAAACATTTTCTAGGAAAACATTTTCCATGGAAAACATTTTCCTTCATACCAAACACACCCTAAGTTGCTCCTATTATCTGCCTCCGTTCACAAAAGCATATTGAAAATCGAACTACTTCTGTAAATATTAACTTCAACCTTTCAACTACCTTTGTAAGGATGTTATCCATAAAGATACACCCATAAAACTTTTTGAGTTTTTTTCGTTCTTTTAGGTGTGTGTGAGGGGGGGGGGCCACTGTTCTGCTTATTATTATTTAACTAGCTTAACTACACCATAAGAGCACACATCTACTATCACTTCTAGTCACACATGGCAAGCTGTACCTTTTCAGGAACAGATACACATTGGGGAAGCCCTTGGTGGAACAGAAGTCAACAAGCAAAGCTGTCTATAAATATTAATACAGAAAAGAAGTACAGATAGAGCACCTGTGCTTCTCAATATGTGTCCGTGCAGCATCATCCAGTTTAACTGCAGCTGATGATTGATCAGAATCAATGGTATCTCGGGATTTCTCCTCATTGTTTGAATGGACCCTGTTTCACTCAAAGAACAACGGTCAAGAGAGATAAATATAAAATGACACATTGCAATGGCTATAAATGAAAAAAGACCCATGCAAGTACCCAAATCTTCTTCTCAATCCTTCAGAAGCAGAATTCACACTTCCTTCTGCTTTAGGAGTTCCACTGCTGGAAATCTCACCCTCAGGTTCCTTGGGTGTATGCACATCAGACTGGATGTGGTTGAAGATAATTTTGTTGTTAATCATACAATAGAAGCAAGCAATATTTTCAAAAAACTACTAGCATGTGTCTATAATAAGTTGATCTAATATAAGTTGAAAGGTGACTCCAGAAGAGAAGATTGAACCACGTTCAAAAACATCGAAAGGACAGAAGTATGACAACAAAAGTAACAGTAAGACCAGAGGAATAATGAAGTCTGAAATGCTGAGCATTATGGACTAAAAGCAAACAATGAGGCACTAAACTTTAAGGGCAGTCTACTGATAAAAACAAAAGCCAGCTCTTTCATATTCCATAAAAATCAATAAATATACTGCAATATGATAGGTTTTCGTATAAGAAAGCAAGGTGAATCTGAATGGTAAATCACAGGAAATGAAACTAGCACGTGCATACCGTGGGCACAGCTAACTTGGCAGCAACAGCCTCAATGTTCTCAGCATATTCATTCACCTTGGCTTTTGAAATCCTATTTTGGGAGACAACATGAAAATGGAGCACACATCAGGAAGAAAGCATCTAGTGCATTTAAAAAAAATAGAGATCCAATAAGAACATACACCCTCAAGCAAAATGTTTCAAGCATTAAATCAATCTAAATTAGTTTTTTTTAATACAGGAAAAACTCACATGACTGGTTTATAAAAGTTTAAAATGTTCTCATGCAGTAAAGAAAAAAATTGGAGTTGTTATAAGTATATTGCTGAAGTTCTAATCTAAACACATGAAGATAATAATTCCTTTTATGCCATCCCTGTCCATTGTACGGATAACAAATGCAACAAAAATGTAGAAAATAACTACTTCCACACATCACCAAACGGTCTGCACAGAGATTACTAATACTAGCATCATGACTTCCTCCATAGAAGGAGACAAGATAGACTAGTCATACTGTCAGGATGCGATGTTTTTTCATTATAGGCAGGATATTAGTCCACTGTATAAAAATATAACTAAAATATGTCCAGTGAGGAGGAGGGTAAGCGGAGTTGAGATCAAAGGAGGATGATTTTCCATCTAATCGACCATGATAAGAGGTTTCCAATTTATTGCTTATGTAATAGGTAAAGTGAAATGTCTAGGAAGCATACGTTTAAATTTAAATGATAATTCCAACCAAACGAACAGAAGGCAGGGACTTTATAAAGAACAGTCACATATGGAAACCAACAGTCTGGAAATTTTGTAGCAGCATGTTATTTTCTTCAAATTAACTAATTGAAAAAGAACAAAGTATACAGACCTTGGTAATCCATCAGGATTCCTCTCTTCAGCCAACTGCTCCAGTAGTTCCCTCAAAGTGGCAACATACTGTGAAAGATGTACCAAAAGGAAAAAGTAAATGCATATGCCCATTGAAAGAAAAATATCAGATGAAAAAAACTGTACAGTTCCCTACATAAGCAATTGCAATGCCATGATTTCTGAAAAGCTTTTCATAGAAACAACCTATACCGCAATTTGTGGCTGTGTGCACAGAAAATTATCAACTTTCACAAATAACAACTACGTCAGAGAACATACAGAAAGGGCAAAGATCAGCTTCCTGAAATAAATAGAGGCTCCACCAGAGACATCAAAAAAACAGTTGATGCATGATTGTTCAGAAGATTAGGGAAGACAAGGAGGTATTACTATGACTCTTTATCTCTCATCCTACATAACTAAAAATATTCAGTAGGTGGACGAGCCATCCTGAGCCCTGTTCATCCTAGATATGGTGATATTGCAGTACTACTAATCTTAATCACCATGTCGAGATCAGAAAAATACTATTGCTCCAAGAAATATATTGACAGGTAAATGTGTTGAAGGCATGCAAGTGGGGTACAACACTGTACACAAAAGTATTGCAAAGCCAAAAGATGTATCCTTGAGAACGCAAGCCTTTAAGGATTAAATCATCTAAACAAGAATATAATATCTTAATTAATATGTATCCAAAAAACCAGCACAATCGAAGTAATGAGCTGATAAATTCACCATGTTTACGACAAGTCTCACATAATGCAAACCCAAGCAGGGAAGAATGAAAAGAAAAATAAGCAAACGCAACCATCAATTCTCTATAAAGAGTTGAACTTGAATGACCTGTGCATACATGTATAAGCTTTGCTTGATTTTGCTGTTGTGGTGCAGTTACAAGTAACCTCTTCAAATTCACTTCAGTTTTGCTCATCCCCATGACACCCTCTAGGGTACTTTCTTTAATAGCTGATCGAGAAAATCAAGCCTTTCTGAACCCGTTTGTAATCTAGCAGAACTGTACAAAAGTATGCAAATTTTCTACTCTTCACATCAGATTATGTTTCTTCTTTATTTTAGAATAATCATCTAGCTCTATCATGCAATTCTAGCATCTTCACACTATAAAATTACGAAATAATGAAGTGTACATAGTCTTAGTTTAAACGTTCATTTTTCCTACTTCAATTGCTTAATAATCACATATCCAAAATATTTGTAATTCAAAACAAACTAATAATTGAAGAAGATTAATGGAGTGATCAACTTCTCTACATAATGAATGCACCATAATCCAATCAAACAAAAAGGCCAACTTGAACTCATACTAAAACCAACTCACAAACTAGTCAATGTATAGGATCCAATCACACAGAGAAACAGAAACCTAAAGAAAAGGTTTATTTTTATAGAACCAGTAGGAATCTGGGTATCCAGTTAATTTGATGCAGATTTCATATCAACTTTCTCTTTTTCGTTAAGAGGGTTTTGGATTTCCTAAAGGATTTTGTCCTTGTTCACTGCCAAATCCAAGTTTTTCAAGGAGAAAGAAATAGAAAAGAGAATGAGAACTTACAACTTTGTTTCTGAATCTGTATTAAACAACCACTTTTCTGAAGCTTTGGTATGCTAAAGGTTCCTCGTGAAGTTGAAACATGTAAATGGATTTGACTACAAGCTAGGGAAACTATGTATGAACCCAAAGTCTTATCGAAGAACAACAACCAATTTTTAAAGATATTGTCTCTTTCTTCTTCTCCTCTTATCCTTCCCTTTTTTTTTTGGGTAGAAAAACTAGTTTGTAGTACATCTGACAATATGACTGACACACAAAAAAACAAAAAGAAAAACCAGTATTTTTACGTACAACCAGTAAAGCGACAATATTTGGTAAGAAAAAACACTAAATCTACATTCAGTTCTTCTTTTTTTTTGAAACTGGTAAATGTGTATTCCTCAGCATTAAGGACATGCTGGACACCATCAAAAAGTGTTAGATAAAAAAAAAAAAAACAACTAAAAAACAAGATACTTACAGAGATCTTAATATATCTACAAACTGATCTATATCCTCTAAACCTACTTCTTTACACCAAAAGTAGAAAGATATTATACAATTCCATTTAACTTTCTGGATGGAATTGGATCTATCTTCATAACACCTCCCATTTCTCTCTCTCCAAACTGTCCACCAGATGCATTGTGGGATGATCCTCCACCACTTCTTTTGACTTTTGCTGCCTCCTCTTTTCATCCAGCAACTAAGCAAATCTGCAGTATGCTCCGGCATAGTCCAGCTTGTCTTTGTTATGTTGAGAAATAGAGACCAAAGTTGTGCTGTAAAGGTGCAGTGCAAAAATAGATGACTGTTTGTTTCATTTGTCTCATTGCATAAGAAGCACCTGGAAACTATGATGGCCCCTTTCTTCTTCAAAACTTCTTGTGTCAGGCATGCTCTTTTAACCACCAGCCAAGTAAAGCATTTTACCTTGGTTGGGGATGGACTATTCCATAAGTTTCTCCATATTTTTGGTTGCCCTCTACACTGTACCCTTTCTCCCATTTTATAAACCCTTTTAACAGAGAATTGCCCATCGATGTTGTGTTTCCATCTTAATGTATCTGGTTCAGCAGTAGTGCCATTGAAATCATCAATCCTATTTAGCAAATCGGCTACTCTATCGATCTCCCAGTCATTTAGCAATCTCCTGAAGAATAAGTTCCATCCCTGTGCACTCCACATATCATAAATGGTGCCATCTGGGTTGTTGCTTAGAATAAACAGGTCTGGAAAAATCTCCATTAATGGGCTTTGCTCCTTCCAAGCATCCTTCCAGAACTTTATTCTTTTCCCATCTCCAACTCTCTTCTGCAAGTTCCCTTCCAGTTTGGGCCATAGAGCTCTAATGGTCTTCCAAACTCCAACCCCATAAGTATCAGTGCTCACATTGGTACACCATGGGTTGAGTTCACCAAACTTGTGTCTAATTACCTCCCTCCATAATGCATGATCCTCCCTATTGTATCTCCAGAGCCATTTCATCAATAAACTATTGTTCTGTGCTCTTAGATTTCTGATGCCCAAGCCACCTTGTTCTCTACTGCGCATTGTTGTCTGCCAATTGACTAGTTTATATCCTTTGCCCTCTTTACAGCCATGCCACAGAAAATCCCTCCTAAGTCTGTCCAACTTTTTCACAACTTTGGGAGGTATGGGAAATAGAGACATTACATACGTAGGAAGTGCATCAAGAACAGAGTTGATAAGGATGAGCCTCCCACCTAGTGATATGTACTGTGCCTTCCACCTAGCCAATCTTTTTTCAGTTTTCTCTAATATTCCATCCCAAATTTCCCCTGCTTTGTGTTCACTACCCAGAGGCATACCAAGGTATGTAGTTGGCATATTTTCAACTTTGCACCCTAAAATGATTGCCAGATCTTGGATATTTGGCACCTTTTTTATCGGGAACAAACTGGTTTTTCCCCAGTTAACTTTCAAGCCAGAAGAAGCTTCAAAAATAGTCAAAATCATTCTGATGTAACCTATTTGTTCAACCTTTGGCTCACAAAATATCACCGTGTCATCTGCATACTGTAGGTGACATACCTCCATTATTTCCCCTCTGCTATTTCCTATCTCAAACCCTTTAATCCATCTATTTTGTAATGCTATCCTCATCATGCTATCAAATCCCTCCATTGCTAGTATAAACAGGAAAGGAGACAGAGGGTCACCTTGTCTAAGACCCCTTTCAGAACCAAAAAAACCTACAGGTTCACCATTCACCAAAACAGAGAACTTGACAGTTTTAATGCAAAAGTCAATCCATTTCAACCATTTCTCACCAAAGCCCATTTGACTGAGAGTATTTAACAAGAATCTCCAGTTGACATGATCATAGGCTTTTTCTATGTCTAGCTTACACATGACACCTGCTTCTGCCCCTTTAATTCTTGAGTCCACACACTCACTAGCAATTAGGGCTGCATCCATGATCTGTCTTCCTTTTATAAATGCCATCTGATGCTTGTTAACTAAATTGTTGACCACCTTCTTGAGTCTTTCAGCCAGTATCTTTGCCACAATCTTATATATTCCACCTATGAGACTTATAGGTCTGAAATCTTTCAACTCTGAAGCTCCAACCTTCTTTGGGATCAAGGCTATGAATGTTGCATTGAGGCTTTTCTCAAACTTCTGATATTCATAAAAATATTGGAAAGTCTTCAGGATGTCCTCCTTTATAAGTTCCCAAAAAGACAAATAAAAGGACATAGGGAATCCATCCGGCCCTGGTGCCTTCTCCATAGCACACAATTTAATGCCTTCTAAGATTTCTTCCTCTTCAAATTGTCTTTGTAGCTTCTCCTGTTCTCCTGCAGATATCCTTGTGGCTTCATGTAACACTAATTCTGGCCTCCACTCTTCTGCCTCCTTATACAGGTTCTTGTAGTAATTTTGAATAGCTTCTTTGATCTCCTCTGCATCTGTCACCTCCATACCATCCACCTTCAAGTTATCTATGGAGTTTACCCTTTTGTGAGCTGTAGCTATCCTATGGAAGTATTTTGTATTTTTGTCTCCCTGTTTCAACCATTGTATTCTTGATCTTTGCCTCCAAGCTATCTCCTCATTTCTTGCAACTTCTTCAAACTCTAAAGCCAAGTTTGATTTTTGCATTGCCTCATCATCTGTGAGAGCTCTTTGTTCCTGTATTGCTTCCAAATCTGACAGCTGGTTTAAAATGTCACCCTTTCTTTGTTTCCAGTTGCCCCTGTTGTTTCTACTCCACTCTTTTAACTTTTCTTTCAGCATCTTCAGTTTCTCAGCTAAAATATAGTCAGGCCTCCCTTTGACAACAAAAGCTCCCCACCACTGTTGTACCTTTTCTTTGAACCCTTCTACCCTCAGCCACCAACTTTCAAATTTGAAGTATTTTTTCTTGAAGTTCAGCTCTCCACAAGACAGCATGATTGGGTTGTGGTCAGATCCTATCTTTGGTAATACTGCCTGTTTGATGAGAGTAAACTGCTCTTCCCACGATGAAGAGAATAAGAATCTATCGATTCTTGAGGCACTTCTATGATTCTCCCCCCTTCTCCAAGTATAAGAACCTCCAAATAAAGGAGGATCCACAAGCTCCATCTCTTCAATGCATTTAGAGAACTCAGACATTGCTCCATTTATTCTGAAACAGTTTGTTCTTTCATTGGGGTATCTGATTACATTAAAATCACCTCCCACCACCCAAGGTCCTGCACACCTTCCCCCCGCTGCATATAGCTCCCCCCATAACACTCTTCTTTCCACTCTTTTGCAATCAGCATACACTGTTGTTACAAACCAAAAAAAATCGGAATTTTCCCCAGACATTTTACAAGTTATGCTTTGGTTTCCATGTTCTACCATTTTCCCTTTCCAAACTCTCCTGTCCCATAAAATAATTATTCCCCCCCGGCTACTGCTTTATGTTTATCTGAAACTCGCAGGATCTAGTGCTCGTCTACTACCAAAGACCAGAACAATTCAGCAGAGCCCAGAAAGCGTGGGTAGAGTTACCCAGTATCACGTATTGGGAGATAGCAGGTAGCCGATGAAAGCGAAAGCTGACAAGTACCACCATTATACTTAAAAAAGATCAGTATGTTCATCAGAGGCAATAGCTTCTATGATCAGATGAAAGGTTTCATTTCTTTTTTTCATCATAGGCAACAACAGAACAGTTCTTGCATAATCTTTTTGGTTATCAAAAAAAGAAATGTTCTTTCATCTATTTACATAACAATGCATTGTGTGCTTGATTCAGTGGAAAGTCATTAGTAGAGTAATTAACATATAATGACCTGCATAAAATAAGCTCTTTTCTCCATGATCTCTATAATTAGTAAGTTATACCACCTTAAGAAATATGTATTCACCTAAACAGGAATATCCACTAAAAGTTTAGTCCTTAAATCACTGTACAAGGATGAAGGATATACGAACCTTAGATTATCATTACAAAAAAAAAATGAATTGGGAATTTGGGATTAGGGCTTTTACATTTTCTTCTCTTGAGTTTGATGTAAAGATACTTACAGAGGATCGCCGGTAGCTTGGGTCTAGCCGGAACCGGACTGCCGAGCGGCTGGGTTGGGTCTCGCCGGAGCTGGACTCGGGGTTTATTGCAGGAAAGGCAAAAAGGAAAGAATGGAGAGAGGGAAAGAAAAATCGGAAATGCTTACTTCAAATTACTCTCTCTTTTTTTTTTCTTCTCAAACTTGAAAATAAGATGAAACAAAATAAAAAT